CACACACACACACACACACACATACAGACACACACACACACACACACACACACACACACACACACACACACTGTATGTCCGTATTTAATGCCTTGTGATTCAGCAAAGAGGAGGTGATTTCTCTTATCTCCATAGTTCAGCGGCAACAGAGAGATAACACACATTCATGAGGCATGTGTGCAATCGTGTTTGCATATGCAACCCTGATGTATACCAGAGGATTTAGATGTGTGTGTGTGTGTCTCAGTCAGCAGTATCGCAAAGAGCAGGTTGTCGTCCATAGCTCTTTGTCGAGAATCATTTTCAGCGCTGCCTGTTGCAGTGGCAGATAAAATACTTAGGAGCTGGTCATCAGTGGAACAAAAGCTCAGCCTTTTAAAAGCTTCACGAAGACGAAGACGGCTGCATTTGAAAACACATCGTTTCTCTTTTATGTCAAGAAAGGTTAGATGGTTAGATGGTTGGTTACATTCAATATATTCTTTGGAAAACAGTGCTGTATGTGGGAGCTGTTTGGAATTTAAGATAAGGTCGCCATCAGTTAAAATGGTTGCAGCAGATTGCAGAATGCAAGTGTTGGATGATAAACTATTCTTATTGTGGAGTTGGAGATTGTGCAGCTATGGTCCTATTGTTTGGCTCTATTGTCATGTTAGTCATCGTAATGTTGTGCAGGTTGTTCAGTGAGGCACATCTGTTCGTTGTTATTTGGGCTCTATAACTAAAATGTAACTTTCTTTTCCTATTCATGTTGTTTTTGTCACCCACCTTCTCTCAGCAGAGCAGCACAAAAATGATCTGGTTAATAGGTGTTTTTTATAACCCATAATCTAATAACCTTTATGGTTGCCCGGTTAATTAGCTCGTCTCTTTGCTCGTTTTTGAATCCCTCTCTCCTCCTGTGTGTCTCGTGGCTGTGACTTTGTTTCAGGAAGTTTGTGGATGTGTCCCTGTGACCGGATGGGTCCAGCTCTTCCTGTTTACAATATACTCTTCTGTTCCTGGTCACAGGAAAGCCCTAATTTATCTGATTTGAGTTAGATGTAAGGTGTTAAGATGCAATTGATTATATTCATTTCTTTTTTTTATTTTAAATCTGTGTAAATAGATAATGGCATCAATGCAATATAATTAAATATGTTTCACGCTTTATGCCTCTGCTGCGGCAACAGCCAGCGGCCATAGGTCAAAGGTCGAGGTGACCTTGGAAAACCCCTTTTTGGCTCGTGAAGGCCTTAAGATTTAAAAAAATTGTTTTATTCTATTTCCACAAATCTGTAGGTATACCCTTGTTATAAGTTCACATCATCTTCCAGGAAGGCAGAATAAAATGTTAAATTCTAAATGTATTTATTTATTCTTTCATTTTACTTACATGCATTTTAAAATAACTTCCCTGTGTTAGTTTCACTTCTTTTAAACACACACACACCTGTGGAAGAAATAGATAAAACACACCACACTAGAAGAAATGGGGAAGTGGGGCTCGTCTTCTCATCTAAATTTGGACCAGGGACTACAGAGGTAACATTGTATGTCATTGTCTTGTGTATACCTGCTCTCATACATGTTTGATTGTTGCGGGCGTGTGCGATTCCCTGAAAGGCTCCCTGTGCTTTCTACTCATAAAGCTCTAAGGAAAGTATATGTGGCTGCTGATCGGTACAAACAGAAACAAAGCCTCCGCACTCTCTCCATCCTTCTCTCCTGACCACAAATGTTTCCCTTTCAACTATAAATACATCCCCTGAAAACCTGCCGCGTCCTGAAACATAAAACGCAGCTAAAAGTGATTATCAGGGTCCAGAATAGCCCAAAGTCTTGGGTTACATTCAGAAGCCAAAGGCCCGAGCTAAGTTTTATTTTATAAGCCTGGCTTTTATTTTGTAAAGATGCCATTTTATTTGATTAAACAGAGGCAGGCTTTCATGTAAAAAGCATGAATGTGGATGAAAGCTAAACGTAATCGATAGGAGAGAGATTGTCCGGTTCAGAGGCCGTCCAGGTTGTGGTGAGAGATGGGAGTGCAAAGAGGTGAGAAAACTAATAAAGGTGCATTATGGAGAAAATGGAGGAGATGACAGTAAGAGAGGAGGCCCACTGATTCCCAGTCACTGCCAGGTCTCCATTCACTGTATCTGATCTACACAGATCCATGTGATGATCACGATTTTCTGAAAAGATCACAAACTTTATTGCTCCTTTCTCAGGCCAGTGGCTGATCTAACAAACGACAGGGCATACATTTAACACAGACAAACTACTGGTTACATGATCAGTTTAGCTGTTTTCGGACATGCACTGAAGTCCAGACATTCACCTTACATTTTCTGAAGTGACAATTCAGCAGGAAAATGTCACAGTGAGCAAGTGGGCGGGTTGATGACGTTTCTAACTTGCTCTTGATGCAAGACTAGAGGAATACAAATATCTCAGTGTGAAACGGAGGTGGCATACACGAAGAAGATGCTCCTGCTGCGTTCTTCATATGTGAAAGTGAGGGGGGGGGGGTTAGCTTGGCTTAGCATAAAGACTGGAAGTCCTTGTCTTTCCAGTCTGTAAAGCTGAATCTGCTTCTGTGCAAAGGGAAGAAAATCATCCTCTTAGCAACTCTAAATTGTACAAATTGAGACGTCAAATAGAAGAGCAGTTTGTGATGTGACACATTTTGCAGTAGAACGCCTGTAGTGATGAATATTAAACCAGAATTAATTGTTCACCTTTTTTCAGTAGCTGCAGGGGAACAGAAACCAGACACTACTTCCATGATAAAAAACTGGCTGTCCGATTTAATATCAGCGCTCACACACAGCTGTGTTTGTGTGTGTGTGAGAGATCCTGCTCCATATGCAGTTAACTCACAGGAAGTGTGTGAGAAATGTGTTGGCCGAAGCAGACGGAGCAGGCAGGTGGGCGTGAGGAGGAGAAACAGCAACGGCGTGTGGGCGACAGTGTTGGCAAGCTGTCCATGTGATCTGGTTTTCATCAGATATCAGCCAGTTAGTTAAATTGTGTATTTATTTCAGCATTAACTCAGCGTCGTTACTGTCAGATAAAGGAAAGACGAGGGCGGTGAAAACACATCTTGCAGATATCAGTTTATTATTCATACATCAGTTTTCGCCTTCTTTCCATTTGGCTCCCTTTGCTCTCCCATAGATAATTAGAGGTCACAAGATATAAATAGGTATCCATTTCAAACAAGGTAACCTTAGAGCAGCGAGTTAACCGGTCTGTTGTGAGAGGAAGAGATGCACTCACTGAGACGGAGAGAGAGTAGATAAACTGGGGCATGTAGCCTCTCAATCTCATTGACCGGTCAACAGATTATTGTCAACCCTTGTTAGCGTGTGTGTGTCTGTGTGTGTTTGTGCTACATCACTATTAAGCGACTTAGCACCATGTTTATTTGTTCTGATGCTGTGACTGACGAGACTGAAGACAGAGAGGATTTGGTGTGTTCAAAGTTCAGCTCTCTCGTCCAGGCCTGCCCCTCAATGTGAAAATGACTTAAAGATAACTGTGGCCTGCTGTGACATGAACGCCCTCTGCATGACAGTCTGACTGAGACTGTGTGAGACTTTTCTCATTTTAAAACATTACAACATTACACTTTTGTGGAAATCTGTTTATGTTCATATTATTATTTGCATTATGGTAGTAGATGTGCATTTAATATTGTCAATATCCAGATATTCACATAAAACTTGCAACTTAGTCGCGTTTCGAGCTGTGACTCTGTGGAATGATTTTCATCACTATGGTACTCAGATGATTGGGGGTAAACATCCAGTGTTTTATTTGTGACATTCTTGTTTAGACTGACTTGATAGATTCACTCAGAAGTGGTAATAATGAGCTTCTTTTGTAAAAACCTAGCTGTGCAAAAAGTTCCCTTCGTGCATTTTTGTATTGGAATTAATCAATGAAAGGATTATTGGACTGCAGGGAGTTCAGACTGTGTTTGTGTTCCCCTCACCTGGCTGGTCATAAATTGCATGTGTGTTTTGCACTGCAAGTCCAGGCCTGTTGGAAATTCTTTCAGCCCAAATATCTGACTTGCATGTATCAGGTGAAGCTGGTGTCTCAGAATACAACTTCCAACGTCTGCGGTGTAACGTCTATTTGTTCTTGTTCGTATATCTGGCAGACTTTAAGCTATATCTTTTTTACGTTCATAATATTGTGGAGATATATACAACAGCATGAAATGGAAAAATACAAGAAGCAGAAAAATGGGGTAAGAACATAAACTGCAGAATTTCAATGTTGGGGCATTATTAGCTAAAATAATAAGAATGAATGAAATATTAGAGATTAAAGAGAAGTTGCATGTGGCATTTTGCAAAATTGTCACATTGGAAAAAACAGGGTGTCTTCAATAAAGTTGTTTGTTCATTTGATATGAACATTATAACAACAACATTATAGCAGGAAAATCAGGAAACAAGTACAACAAAATACCAAAAGAACAAGAGAGGAGCATCAATGGCAGGGAGATCTGTCCTCAGTCTTATCACTCTGTTTGTATATGCGCACAAGTGTGTGTGGGAGTTTGTGAGTGTGTGTGTGTGTGTGTGTGTTGTATCTGCATTCCAGGCTGAGTCACATGCAGATCCGTGTATCCGTGGTAACAAAAGCTCTCATTCATTGAGGAGAAATTACTCATTCATTCTAACCCCTGAAAGTGTCTGTGAATCTCTTTCTGTGTGTCACACAATATCCTGTATTTCTTTACAGTGTTTCGATTGGATGTTTGTGAATGCATGGGTTCCTTACACCTTATTTAGGTTCCGGAAATTCCTTGTCAAACTTGGATGTGAAATGGATGGGAAATCAAATTTGAATTCAGAATTCACCTGCGTTGTGTGAATGCAAAGATTCATCCACTGATCTCTCCTCTATCACCCACAAAATACAGTTCAAACTGAGAGTACATGAGACGTTCAAACACGCGCATGTTTCATCCCACACTCACACCTGTTGTGTGTTGTCTGCAGTGTGTTGGTGAGGAGAACTGGGTGGACAACAGGACCATCTACATCGGACAAAAGGAGCCTCCTCCTGGCACTGAGGCCTTCATACAGCAAAGATTCCCAGACAACAGAATAGTCTCATCCAAGGTCAGTGAAAACACACGAAGATCAAATACTCACTTTATTCGTTACTGCTCAAAATCAATTTCTCCACCACTCTATTCAATTTAGAGAGCAGGGTATAGATATAAAGACACGACAGGAGAGAACAGTTAGTTCTGAAGCACAGTTCAGGTTGTTCAGGCTTTTATTGTGTGGAGGAGTTATCCTTGGTAATTTTACACTGTGTGAGAGGTTAGAGAGGTTATAGAAGGTTAGAGGTTATATTTGAAAGCTTTCAGTGATATGTGGAGCCACTCTAGTCTGGGCTTTATTGAGGATTTTGTGTTGTTTCTTTTGTAAAATAGTCTTTGGAAATAGATTCATATTTGTACTGTCATTTTATTAAAAAATCCAGTCCTACAGATGGTGATGCCAATTAAAAAAGCATCTGCTAATGTACTGGAACTGTTCATCTTAAATGAATGCACTATTTCACTGTCTCACTTTTCCAGTACACATTTTGGAACTTTGTACCAAAGAATATGTTCGAGCAGTTCAGGAGAGTGGCCAACTTCTACTTTCTCATCATATTTCTGGTCCAGGTAAAAGATTTTTCTTTATAATTTATTGCAGCTATTTAAGATTTATTGTGCTGCTTTCATTTCTTCATAGCCTGCTTTTATTCTGTCATTAAATGTTTTCAAAATAAAACTATATTCGTATTTCTCTCTAAGTTATCTAAGTTGAATCTGTCTGTTATATCTTTGCTTAACACAGTTTATTAAATATTCTGTATTAACTAACTGTATTTTTACATTTTATATCTATATTTCCTATGTGTTCCTATAAAACATGATAGTTTTGCCACACAGGATCATTAGATACCTCATGTAAAGATTATTTACAGTAGTAGTTCTGACACAGAAAACCTTCTTCACAGTTTTCTTCCAGTTAGAGGCCTGTAAACATCAAATATCAAGTTGTCCACATCTTCTTCCATCCTAAATTCTTGTATTTGTGCTCTACTGTTGTTTAATGCTGAAATAGCTTTTACTTGTTTTCTATTATTTGCCCTCAATTCTTCAGTTTTAACTTGCAAAGAACCTTGTTACTGTGTTTGGAAAGGTGATATATAAATAATTTATGATATAATTTATTCACGTTCCTTTCTCTCTGTGTTTGTCACTTCAGTTGATCATCGACACACCCACCAGTCCCATCACCAGTGGGCTGCCACTCTTCTTTGTGATCACAGTCACGGCCATTAAACAGGTGAGGCCGTGGTTTTCAGTCTAATTTACTGTATTGGCATTGACAATGAACACAACACCAACACACCTTATCATGTCTGCACACCTCCCTCACTTCCTCTTCTCTCTCTCTCTCTCTCTCTCTCTCTCTCTCTGTGTTTGTGTGTCAGGGTTATGAGGACTGGTTGAGACACAAAGCAGACAACGCTGTCAACCAGTGTCCTGTCCACGTGGTGCAGCATGGGAAAGTGGTCCGCAAACAAAGTCGCAAGCTCAGGGTACGTGTGTGTGTGTGTGTGTGTGGGGCTCTGCATTTTTAGAGCAATTGAGCTTTTTTAAGTAAAGTCGTATTCACAGAAATATTCAGCTGAGTTACTGTATGAAACGTCGTGTGAGAGAACAAATGTAAACAACAGTTGGCTGAGCCTGAGCGGCCTGCAGGTGGTGAAGCAGAAGGTTGGCCTGTTAGGCAAACTGCATTAGTAGAAACTGCATTAGCAATACTAAAGGGATCAGAGCCATGTCATCCTCAAAGACCAGGGGGTTGGTTTTTATTCCCCCTTGACAAACATACAGTGGGGTCATCCTGAACAAGAGTGAATTATTCATCACCTCTTAAGAATTATTTCTTTAACTTTTCATTAGTTAAGATTTAAAGTTAAAGTTACAAAACGCAACCTCCTTGCTGGAGGTAACAACAATTTGCATTGAGTTGTATGGTTTACAGAGTTTTACACAAGACGGTGTATTTATTCATAAATATTGAACTCCTCTTTCTCAGGTTGGAGATGTCGTCTCAGTGAAAGAAAATGAATCTTTTCCTTGTGACCTTATACTTCTCGCCTCGTCTCGAGATGACGGGACCTGCTTTGTTACAACAGCTAGTCTGGATGGGGAGAGCAGCCACAAGGTGTGTATGTGTGTTAATGTGCGGCCTGACAGATTTATATTTCATTTATTTTATTCATTGTAAGGTTGCTAGTTGTCATTGTTTTATTTTGTTACTCTCTGTATTTATTTATCAGATTTTATATGCAACTTATTTACAGCTGCAGATTTTTCTTGAAGCCTAAAATGCTCAAAAGTGTCACAACATTCAAGGTGAAGGTACTTTTTCAAGAAGAGGGTTTTTTTTAATTCTCTCTCCCTCTCTCCTCCTCTGCCTCCCTCTATCATCCTCTCACTCTTGTTTTTTATCTTCAATTTTCGGTTCCTCCTCTTTTCTCCCATCTTTCCCTTCCTCCCTCTTTGTCTTGATTCGCTCACCTTCCCTCCCCCTCTCAGACATACTATGCAGTTCAGGACACCAAAGCTTACAACACAGAAAAGGAGGTGGACTCCATTCACGCCACAATAGAATGTGAACAACCACAGCCAGACCTGTACAAGTCAGTACAAAACAAACACTTGCTTACTCTCCGAATTGTGTTGTGCCACACAAATATCTGAACTCTCACCTTTGTCCTGTGCAGATTTGTGGGACGTATCAACATCTACATGGAGAACGAGCCAGTGGCCAGGTAACCTGAACCCCTCACATATCAATATAAATTAGATTATGTTGTTTTTTTCACTTGACGATGATAAAATAGAATCGAAACTTTGCTTGATTACTTATTTATAAGACACTTAAGGGTTATGCTTGTTAAGGTAATCCTTGTACTGATGTCTGTGTGCAGGCCTTTAGGATCAGAGAACCTGCTGCTCAGAGGGGCCACACTCAAGAACACAGAGTACATCTATGGTAAAATCACCTGAAATAACAATTAACGGTTACTCACTAACTTTTTTGCAGCTTTCAACAGGATTTTGCTGTCTTCTTTTGTGGAGAAAGTTTGCTCAGAAGCTCAAATGTTAACATGAATTCCAACATTGCTGAATACATGCGATTGAAAGCTTTAATAAATGTTATTTGGTTTTGCTGAACTTCTTAAATGCTCATGATTTGCTTATTCCTCCTCTCAGCGGTTGCCATCTACACTGGCATGGAAACCAAGATGGCTCTCAACTACCAGTCCAAGTCTCAGAAGCGCTCTGCAGTAGAAAAGTAAGCTCTCTCTCCCTGTCTTTCTTTCTGTCTGTAATTTTAACAGACATAAAATAATTTGCTTCTGGAGAAGAACCTATTTGCATCAATTATCATCAAACTCAATGCAAAACATCCTTTTTCCCCCAAATGAACACAGGCTTGTATCCTCATTTGTGTTTTTACTCATCCCTCCATCCATCTGTTCACTTTTCACCCCTTCATTTCTCCAGTGGGTCTTTGTGAGTCTGTGGCTCACACTGACTCGATCACTTTCTCTCTGTATGCATCTTGTAGCCAGATGGCCTGTAGAGATATGACTGGCTGTAGGTGGATTACATTTACACTTGGATACAGTGTGTGCCTGATTAATGCATTGGAATAGTATTTGTCTCCCTTTTTCCAAAAAGAACTTGGCTGGGAGTAATGCCTCGTCTCAGCTGCTGCCTGTATCCAAGTATTTATTCTTGTGTGTTGCAATGCAAACACACTGTACCTGTGGGACGACACCGCACTGTCTGTTTGAATCCTTCTCCTCTAGTTTGGATTATTGCATTTTCCTTGTATCTTGGCTTTGTTTTACATCATTCAATGTTATAATTTGGCATCATGTGCATTGTTTGTCCTGTTAATTAACAACAAAATCCCCCAGATCTTCTGTTGCATCAAAATAATGGAGTGTTTTTAAGTTATGTCAGTTTTCTGTTTGTGAACAGATATGTCATTAGCTGCTTGTTGTCTCCCCCTACAGGTCAATGAATGCCTACCTGGTGGTCTACCTGTGCATTCTCATCAGCAAGGCCCTCATCAACACCGCCCTGAAGTACGTGTGGCAGGCCGATCCCAACAGAGACGAGCCGTGGTACAACGAGAGGACGGACACAGAGAGGCAGAGGCACATCGTGAGTCTTTCAGTCCAAACACAAATGTGTTTTGTTTCTCACCTTCTCACCTCCTCACACTCTTCATCCTTCTCATCCTCAGGTGATCAGGGCGTTCACAGACTTCCTGGCTTTCATGGTTCTCTTCAACTACATCATCCCTGTTTCCATGTACGTCACCGTGGAGATGCAGAAGTTCCTGGGTTCCTATTTCATCATGTGGGACGACGAGATGTTTGATGAGGAGCTGGGGGAGCGAGCGGTGGTCAACACGTCAGACCTGAACGAGGAGCTGGGACAGGTAGGGAAGCAAACGTAACTCTGAGCAAAATAAACTATAGGAAAATTTCGGTAAATTCAGTGTATGTCTGAGAGCAGCTTAAAGTAAAATCAAATATTACTGTATTACACATAAGGGGGAGATTGAGAGAGAGATACAAATGTGAAAAGTTGGTCTGAACAAGAAACTCTGAACACAAGAATTAAACAATTAGATTTAAAATCTTGGATGTAAACGAGCCTGGGTTATGTTTTACATGACAAACACAACATTTAACCTGCTCTTTTTCCAGGTGGAGTATGTGTTTACCGACAAGACTGGGACTCTGACAGAGAACAACATGGAGTTCATTGAGTGCTGTGTGGACGGACACGTTTATGTGCCTCATGCCATCTGTAATGGACAGGTAACAACTGATGTGGAAGCTCGTCATCACACACTACTCACAAACTCATATTAGTGTGTGCCTGTATTTCATCCCTGCGAGCTTTAATACAAAATACACTTTTGTTTTCTGTTGCTGTCATTGTCACGTACAGCACATATTTAACTTTAACTGCTTCATAACGTTGCTAGGTGATGCCTGGTGCTGTTGGTATGGACATGATCGACACATCGCCAGGTCCCGGAGCCAGGGTGAGCACATCCCGAGTTCGAATGTGTTGTAAATATGCGTGGGTGTGTGTTTCAGGGTAACACAATGTTTTGCCGTCCACCCAGGAGCATGAGGAGCTGTTTTTCCGGGCGCTGTGTTTGTGCCACACGGTGCAGGTGAAGGAGGAGGAGACAGTGGATGGGATCAAGCATGGAATCCACCAGGGCAAGTCCACCTCCTTCTACATCTCCTCATCACCAGATGAGGTGGCGCTGGTGGAGGGAATGAAGAGGTGGAGTGCACACACACACACACAGGCTTTTTCACTGACTTACACACATTCGGTTCAATAACGGTTTGTTGTTGTTTGTCATAGGCTCGGTTTCACCTATCTGAGACTCAAAGACAGTCACATGGAGATCTTGAACAGGGAGGATGAGATTGAGAGGTGAATGTTCCCTTCTAACAATGTTTTCCCCTCTAACCCTCAGCAACCATCAACGTTTTATCTGCTTGTTATTTCAAGTGTCGTTGCAATGTTTGTGATTATGTGACTTTTTCCTCAGGTTCGAGCTGCTGGAGGTTTTAACATTTGACTCAGTCAGACGGAGGATGAGCGTCATTGTCAGAGCTGGCACTGGTAATACACAGCAAACTGTTATATATATGTGTGTGTGTATGTATATAATTTGAACATATGTATTTACGTTTTGTCCTGCACACTCTTTCCCTTTTTGTGTGTATGAGCAGGTGAGCTCTATCTGTTCTGCAAAGGTGCGGACTCCTCCATCTTCCCTCGGGTTGTCTCAGGCAAGGTGGATCAGGTTAGAGCTCGGGTGGAGCGCAACGCAGTGGTGAGAGCAAACACACACACAGGAACGTACACAGTCATTTTTTTTCCGGGAACACTCCTGAAAGTTTCCACAGCTACGGCACGTGACCACAGCGGTTTCCATGGGTACCACAGTTTAGTTTTCCATAGCTTAAGGTAAAGGTAATCAACTTGAACTAAGAGCCCACCCTAAAACCTTCAGTTGATGTTCTATAAACCCATATTTGATTGTATGAATTTCCAGGAAATGTCACATATTAACTGAGGTGGAATCAGACACGTTAAAGAGAAGTATATATATATATGATAGAAAAAGTAATAAACTGCAAAATGTGTAATGGAAATCATGTCACTGTAAGGCTGTATGTCGTGGTTGCAGCTGCAGATAAATTGAATAGTTGTCAGTGAAAACAGAAGGATGTGTGGTGGGTGTTATTTACTGGTTAAAGTCAGATAAATAGAGCAGCTGCTGCCCACACACTCACATTAATAGATCACTAAAGTCCACCTTGCTGTAGCAGTCTAACTGTGTGTGAATCTTCTATCTCCTCCAGGAGGGTCTGCGGACGCTTTGTGTTGCCTATAGGCCTTTGAGCCCTGAACAGTACCAGGAGCTTTGCCACTTGCTGAACGGGGCCAAGTTGGCGCTACAGGACCGTGACAAACGACTGGCTGAGGCCTATGACATGATAGAGAAAGACCTGATACTCCTGGGAGCCACCGCTGTGGAGGACAGGTGGAGGATCTCTTTAAAACGTGGAATTTTATTGAATAGAAATGTACCCTTTGCCTTCAGACTGTACTTCAAACTCTGCTCAGCATTAACTCTTGATTCTGTGTAGTAATAGTGCAGGATTGAAAGAGGGATTTTCTCTATTTCCTCCACAACAGGCTCCAGGAACAAGCAGCGGACACCATCGAGTCTCTCCACAAGGCCGGCATGAAGGTGTGGGTGCTGACAGGCGATAAGATGGAGACGGCGGCTGCAACCTGCTACGCAAGCAAGCTCTTCCATCGCAACACCCAGATCCTGGAGCTGACCACCAAGCGCACAGAGGAGCAGAGCCTGCATGACGTCCTGTTTGACCTGAGGAGGACGGTCCTGATGCAGCACGGAGGCATGACCAGGGACACTTTCTCTGGGTTTGTGTTTTAGCCATATGATGTCCCTCACAGCTGTCTGGTACGTCGTTTCCATGACTATTAACTCATCTTGTACGTGTATAGTTTATCAGGTGACTGTACTGACTTTGGTCTGATCATTGACGGGGCCACCCTCTCTGCGGTGATGAGGCCCAGCCAGGAGGACTCAAACTCAGGGAACTACAAAGAGATCTTCCTAGAAATTTGCCGCAACTGCAGCGCTGTGCTCTGCTGTCGAATGGCGCCGCTCCAGAAAGCACAGGTACGGAGACGTCTCCTGGCACAAGTATTGTTTTTAGGGTTTCCAGTTCCTACGTATGATGTGACTTTTTTTCTTTCTAGATCGTGAAGATGATCAAAACCTCTGAAGAGCATCCGATCACACTGGCGATTGGAGATGGAGCGAATGATGTCAGCATGATCCTGGAAGCCCATGTTGGCATTGGTTAGTGGCAGTTTAACTGTATCATGCAGCCTCAGATGCAACGTGCTTCTCTATAGCCGTTTTCAGACATGAACTCTGTAAAATATCTGCAAAGCTGGGTTCAGGATATTTTCCGGGTCAGATTCTAAAGGTTTTACGGTTTCTACTCTCCACTTGTTAATCTGAAATACCAGGAAATTACAAACCTCTCTCTGCCTCTCAAGGTATTATGGGTAAAGAAGGTCGTCAGGCTGTGAGGAATAGTGACTACGCCATTCCGAAGTTCAAACACCTCAAGAAGATGCTGCTTGTCCACGGACACTATTACTACATACGCATCTCCGAACTAGTGCAATACTTCTTCTACAAGGTAGAAACAGTGTTTGATTGTGAAAAGTAGTTTTGCATTTAATTCTTTTTAACTTAGTGTAAAGTTGCATTTTGATTTTGCCTGCTTTTCTTCTCTAATTTATTTTATATCTGTTTCCAGAATGTCTGCTTCATCTTCCCCCAGTTCCTTTACCAGTTCTTCTGTGGCTTCTCACAACAGGTAGACAAACACACACACACACACACACACACACACACACACACACACACACATACGGAAAGGATGAATGGTTGAAACGTTTCTCTCTGTACCTATTTCCAGCCGCTGTATGATACAGCCTACTTGACTCTGTACAACATCAGCTTCACCTCGCTGCCCATTCTGCTCTACAGTCTCATAGAGCAGCACATTAACATAGAAATCCTGAAGAAGGACCCATCGCTGTATAGGTCAGTGTTGATACCTCTTTCTTGTCTTAATTTGCAAATTCAGAGTTCCCTCCCCCCATGACAACTTCTGCTGAATACAGGAAAGCACAGAAGGAGTGAGCTGTGGAAACATTGTCTTACAGGTTCCTCCACGTCCATATCATCATGTCAGAGAGTCCTACTCCAGTGAATAAGACTCTAACATCAGCTATATCAACTCTATCTAACATTCATCTGTTTGTTGTTGGGAAACAATCCCTCATATTAATACATATTTCCAAAAATAGAAATTCTCTGGATGTTTCAGTGATCAGATCTCCTCCAACATGATGAGCTGCTTGTTTTATTTGAAAATATGCTGCAGCTCAGTCTGATTATTCCAGAGAAGTAACAAGCTCAGTGTTTATTTCACATACAAAGAACATTTCAGACATTCTAAGGGCACTTTCACTTCTTTTAGTCTTTTCGAAAAGTCTGAAGGTCGGGACCAAACAAAGAACGGACAATAATTGTATAAAGTAATGTTATTTTATATTTAGATTTATAATAGTTCTACCTTTGGTCACAGCTCAATCAAAATGAAAAAGCAAAACAGATTTCACATGACTAGATGAAGCATTTTTCCTCCCAGGCTTTGTTCTTTCTTTTCCCTCGTCTCTCTCTGTCTGTAGATAAATAACGGGCCTCGTGTTGTGTTTCAGTTTTTACGACGGGCCTCTCTCAGTAATGTACTCTTCACTCAGTGCATAGGAATCAAATTAAAATATCCCGTATCCCGTTTCTAGTTAAAGGCAGCTAATGTCGTCCTGATCAATGTGTGTAATCACTCATATAGGTAGATAGGTCGTCAATATAGTCAAAGTAATTCATGATGTTTACTGTTATGTTGTTTTATGTTCTCAGAGATATTGCTAAGAACTCTTTGCTGCGATGGCCCATCTTCATATATTGGACCATCCTGGGTGTATATGACGCCATAGTGATGTTCTTTGGTGCTTACTTTCTGTTTGACAACACCACCTTCACAAGCAACGGACAGGTAACAGCACTTGTGTCTATGACACTTCATAGTCGAGATCTTTTTTTAATTTGGATAAAATATACTTTTTTTAAACTGTAGAATGCACAGTTTTATAGAAAATACTGTGCTTTTAATTTTCTATTTCATTTTGTCTGTGTTTTCGAAACACATCCACATCTATAATTTTCTGCCTTTCATTTGTCTTTTGCTGTCTACTTTGATTAGAGCAAAAAAATTACGGAGGAATATTAGGGCATATTAAATATTACAGTAATACGGTCATAATATTACGAGAAATACATTTGAATATACAATAATGAAGTCATAACATTACAAGAATAAAGTTGTAATATTGTGACTGTTTTCTAATTGAATAACAACTGTATTCTTGTAATGTTCCAACTTAATTCTCAAAATCACACAAGGTTTTTCTTCAATATGGACCTAATACTCCACATTTTAAAGTGGTCTGTATCACAGATTATTCAGTCGCACTTCATTTAACAGTGTGATCTGATATGTGGCTTCTTGTAGCACAAGGAAACATTAAGATTCAAACAAGTAATTAGAGTCTAAGATACCAGATATTTTCTGTGTTCTAAGTTTCAAGACAAATATGCAGCATGTAATGTTTCTGCGACGGACAAAACAACCTTCCTCTGTGACTTTCTGCAGCATCTGACTGCAGAAAAGGTTTTCAGGCTTCTGATCTAACGTGTTCCCTTGAGTAAAGAATGATTTCATTGGACTGACAGTTTTATATAAAAGTTGACAGACTTTCCATTCACATCCAAAACATGATAGACAGCATGGCAGGTTTTCCACCATCTTCCTCTCTGTTCTCAGTTTGTGTCCTTTCATTTTCAAGAGGCCTTACTCTCCCAGAAACCCTCTGGACTGCTTTGAGTTGCTTGATTTCACTTGAGTTTTGCCTCAAATTTTTTTCTCTTCTCCAGCAACAAAACTGTTAATTTTATTATGATTTTCTTCTTCTGGCCTTCTCCTCTTTTTCTTCCTCTTCTCTTACCTTTGTGTTGCTTTTTCTTTTTGCTTCTCTTTCCTCCTTCCCAGCTAATGACAACCAACACACAGATGGTAAGCCTGTCCCTGTCTCTCTGTCACCTCTGCCCTTAGTTTCACTATTCAATTCACTGTTCTTGTCCCGTCAAGTAGCCTGATCCCAGATCACCCATCATCTCTTCAGCTCTTGTCTTCGTGCCTGATGCAGAAACAACAACTGCAGGCTTCTGTGTAGTGTCCTGCCTTTTCCTAGAACCACACTGTGTGTGTGTGTGTGTG